CTTCACACGTGGTTCTACAAACATATTCCAAGGAAACGATTGATAATTTAGGTCATTTTACAGCTCAGGTCTCCTATCGCAGTCGCACTGCTTCCATTACTTTTTGTGTAACAGCCAATGGCAGCTCGCTTTTGGGACGTGATGCCATCAGGGCTTTGTCCATCAACATCGTCGGTGCGTCTATGACGTATGCTCAAGTCGATGTCCAAGATGATCTTCCGGCCAACGTGCCTTCTGAATTCCACCACCTGTCCACCCGTGAACTGGGTTGTGTGCGCGGTTTTGTGCAGAAAGTGATGCGTCGACCAGGTGTGTGCCCTGTGCGTGCCAAGCTGCGCCGCATTCCTCTTCTTCTCCATGAGCAAGTCTCTGCGGAACTGTCTCGCCTTCAAACCAGCGGAATCATCGAGCCTGTCTCTGCTTCCGACTGGGTTTCTCCACTGGTCGTCGTCAAGAAAAAAAGATGGATCCCTTCGACTATGCGTCGACTTACCGAGAGCCGAACAAGGCGATCGTCGTAGACGGGTTTCCACTTCCTCACATTGAAGAACTACTTCATCAGCTCTCCGGAGCGGTATGTTTCTCCAAGCTGGACCTCGCGTCCGCTTATCACCAAGTTGAACTTTCTGAGTGCAGTAGAGACTTAACCACATTTGTATCGCACGAAGGCTTGTTTCGGTTTCGCCGCGTGTGTTTCGGGCTTGCATCTGACCCTGCAGTGTTTCAGAAAATTATGTCAATTATTCTTAAGGGTTGTAATGGTGCCCTTTGTTACTTGGGTGACATTTTTGTGTGGGGACGTACTCGCGAAGAGCACGATGCTAACTTGCATACTGTTCTCAACTGCATCAGTGAATGTGGTATGAAACTTAATAACAAGTGCACTTTTTCTGTGAATGAGTTACACTTTCTAGGACATAATGTCAGTTCCCGCGGCTTGACACCTGTTGAATCTAAAGTTCAGGCCATTGTCAATGCCCCACGGCCTACTGATGCCAAAACCTTGCAATCTTTTTTTAGGTCTTGTTGGCTATTATGCCAAGTTTGTTCCTCACTATGCTGATGTTGTTGAACCACTGCGTACTCTACTTCGTCAAGCACAGCCTTTTAACTGGTCAGCTGAAGCTGAGCAGAGCTTCATTCGAGTTAAGTCAATACTGGCCTCAAAGCCAGCTGTTAGTATTTTCAATGAGAAGCTTCCCATCGTCATCACGACGGATGCGTCCGATGTTGGACTGGGAGCAGTCTTTCAACAACTCAGAGGTGATTAGCTGATCACTATCGCTTTTGCATCTCGTACATTGACCCCTGCTGAACGCAGATATTCAATAGGAGAGCGTGAAGCTCTCGCGTGTCTTTTTGCCTGTGAGAAATGGCATGTTTACTTGTGGGGCCGGCACTTCACATTCGTACAGGTTCACACCACAAGGCACCACTGGAGTGTCTCCTGCTCAGCTTCTCCAAAGTAGACAACCGCGAGTTGCTATCGACATAGTCTCTTTGCCTCGTAACATAGCAGTGTCTTCTCCTGATCAAATCCGTACCAGGGTTTTTTCTCATCAACAAGCAATGAAAAAGTATGTCGACACCCGTCAAGGTGCAAAGCAGTCCAAAGTTTGCACTGGCGATCTAGTCAAGGTTCGTGTGCCAGGCAAGCGCCCCAAGTATCGAGGTCCTTACAAAGTCTTGGGCCAGGTTAGCCCCACTTCTTTTCGCTTAAGTGATGGTAACATCTGGAATGCTTCGCGCCTTGTTATTTTTCATACGGATTCGCCTTCAACACCTAAAGGTCTTCCCCATCACGTTCCGTCCACGCCTTTCAACTATGCATCAGACTGTTACATGTGGCCTCCATGTACAGGCATTTCTTCTTCAAGGGGGCAGGAGTTACCAGTCGGTGTCGCTGGTTCAAGTAAACCAAGTCTTACGGTTCACTTCGAACCTTCAAATACGGCTTCGAACCTTCAAATACGGTGACGCAACAGACAACCGTTCGCAGCAGCCGCCACCCGCTGAAGAGGCTCGCTCAACTCTCGCCCACCACCAAGGCCTGCCTTCCACCAGGGGCCACCGCCGGTGCTACCCTTCTACCAACAGTGGTACGATGGATGGATGGATGGATGGATATGGCTGTACCCTTTAGATCAGGCGGTGGCTAGCACCACCAAGCCGTAATACTTAATGAACCCAAAACTATATTTATTTTTTTTTTCCTTAAAAAGTGAGTTGGAGGATTCGTACTTCGCAGTGAAGAGTTTAATTTTCACTCGTGCCTTGACTTTGGCCACCAATCAGATAACCTCCTTCTAGTTAAGCCTACTTGCTTAAAGTCTATTTTGCCCTCCCGGTCCCTAAACCCCAGTGCTTTGAAAAACTCTGCGCCATCATCCTGAACTATAGGGTGAAGCCCTTTACAGAACATTATCAAGTGTTCAGCAGTTTCTTCTTCCTCTCCACACGCACTGCATACTGTGTCTACCCCTTCGTATTTGGCCCGATATGTCTTGGTTCGCAGTACTCCCGTCCTTACCTCAAACAGTAGAGAACTACCCCGAGTATTATCATAGATCCTTTCCTTGGCAATTTCCTGCTTAAAAGTTCGATAGATCTCTAGTGCGGACTTCTTAATCATGCAAATTCTCGACATATCGGTCTAAGCTTCCTTGACCTTCTTCTTAACCGATAATTCGTTTTGGTTTGGCCCCCTGCTGTTTTCTAAGTATTTACCAGTCAACTTCCTGGTTCGCTTCCTCCATTTTGTATCGACATTCTTCATGTACAAGTAACTGAAAACCTTCCTAGCCCAACGCTCCTCCTTCATTTCTCTCAATCGCTTCTCAAATTTTATCTTGCTGCTAGCTTCCCTGCCCTCAAATGATATCCATCCCATATCACCTTGTACTCCCTGATTTGGTGTATTCCTGTGAGCTCCTAAAGCAAGCCTACCTATTCCACGTTGCTTAATTTCTAATCTTGCTTGAACTTCTGATCTCATGCTCAAGACCGCATTGCCGAACGTCAGCCCAGGAACCATGACCCCTTTCCATATTCCTCTCACAACATCATACCTATTGTAATTCCACAGTGCCCTATTTTTCATCACTGCTGCATTCCTGTTACCTTTAGTCGTCACGTATATTTCGTGTTCCCTCAGGTACTTGGTCCCATTGCTTATCCATACGCCCAGATATTTGTATTTATCTGTTATCTCTAGCGTGACCTCCTGTATCCTAAGCTCACTACCTTCATTGTCATTGAAAATCATGACTGCTGATTTTTCCTTACTGAATCTAAAATCTGACCTATCTCCCTCATTACCGCAGATGTCCATCAATTTCTGCAAATCTTCCTTGGCCATTAGTACTGTATCATCTGCGTACATTAATGCTGGTAGTGCCTGATCAATAAGTTTTCCTTGTTTGACTAAAGAGAGGTTGAAGCCCAGCCCACTTCCCTCTAATTTTGCCTCTAATCCTTGTAGGTACATCATGAATAATAAGGGTGACAGGGGGCACCCCTGCCTAAGCCCCCGTTTTACCTCTGCAGGCTTGGATACCTGTTTTTCCCACTTTATAACTATCTTGTTACCTTTATAGATATCCTTTAAAAGATTAGTGACTACATGTTCCACGCCTAGTGTGTCCAGTATTCCCCACAATTTTTCTTGTAGGGGCACCCTCGTCGGGGCCAAGTTTTAATTTTAAAATAATCAAGTACTACTTATTTGCGTACTCCTACACATAAAAAACAACTTGTTTTTTTAGCAAGTAGTTTTTCTTAAACATGTGCTGCGTCATCAATTTTTAGTGGTAGCCTCTTATAATGCCAGCAGATCAATAAAAATATGGGCAACATGCATGTAATTCTGAGCATAAAACGACCGCTCTTTTTAAGCAGGACATGGAAAACAGCAAAAAGAAAAATGAATTGTAATCATTAAAGTGCTAGAAAGTAAATATCAGCATAAAAGTATATTACACAGCAAGCAAAAAAATGACTTTTCAACACAAGAAACAGAAATATGTACAGCTTTGAAATTAATGAAGCGTTTGCGATGTGCACGTTCGGCCGACACTTTCTTGGTCAAGTACGTTGGCGCATTTGGAACTATTGTTGCGACTGCATCACATTTGAGCGCCGGGACTCCACGTGGTATTCGGGCTTCTTTGTCGTTCACAACATGAATGTAGTCACTTAGAGTATATCGGTCTTCGAAATGCAGCTCACAAACTGCACATTGGTCCTCCAATGGCTTGTCGCTGCCATGCAAGTTCCTCTCTCTCAGAGGTTCCTATGGTCTTTGTTCCACCCTCAGAGGTTCCTACGGGACACTTTCCGCGTCACTTTGACGCCCGAATAACCAGTGCGGCAGCCTAGAGCATAGCAGTGCCGGTGACAGTTCTTTGGCATACTGGTAGCGGCACGGCCAAAACAAAAAACAATGAGCAGCGAGGCCTTCCGCTCAGTTGCTACCACAGTTACCATGCATTTGGCAACGCGCCTCTGCACTTCCCAAACCACCTTGACTGCAACGCTGGATGGACTCACAGACAGACAAACATCTGGACAAACATACGACAGACAGAAAGACAGACGGGCAGGCAGACAGCACAGATGGACAGACGGACACATAGATGGACAGACGAACAGAAGCGTGAATGAACGGATGGACAGGTGGAATCGGGGACGCACGGACGAATGGACCGAAGCACGGATGGATGGACGGACAGATGGAGACTTCGCCCTACTCATCATCATTCACTCCGCGGATATGCTGTGATTTTTTTCATCATTTGCTCAGTAATTGCTTGAAATTTCTTTAAAATATGCGCGAGCACCTAATGGTGCAGAATGGGCACGTTTGCACCATGCTCTCTTCTTGGTCACACCGTGAAAATTTGATTTTTATGTGTTATAATATGTTACCCATATGCTACGTCTCTTCGAGTTGCATGAATGAGTGAGCGTGCAAGTGTCTCTCACTATTCTTTTCACCACAGTGCTGTCTACAAAGCGGCTTACAGGCCGACGAACCTCATCTGCACGGTGAAACTGGTGGCGTGCGACCGCTTTCAGAGGCACAAGCAGGCCTGCATCGACAAGGTGGTCGCCTCGGTCATCAGGAGCCCCTTCCTGGTCAAGTATTACGCGTGCTGCTCCACACGCGTAAGCATGTACACTATATATCGTTCTGCACTACTCGCAGCACTAGCTAAATGCATTGCTTTACGGTGAACGGCGCATACAAATGGACCTTTAAAATGGTGCGACTTTGGTGTGGCCACCTTGCGATATAAGGCTCAGTGTACACCCACATATGGCTGTTCCAGAAAGTGAAACACTTTCGCCCAGCCAGTTTGTGTTGAGAATAGAAGGTAGAAAGGTGTACCAGCCGTCTTTAATGCCTGCCGAAATAGCGAGCATGCCAGTGATCACACCCTTACAATCGAAGTTGATATAACACCCCCCCCCTCCCCCTCCTTTTTGCCGTCCTAGTTCCTTCCTGCGCCTTGAAGACAGGCGAGGCGTTCTTCTTTGCTTGAGTAACAGACGATAGCAGGCTGGACATGTGGGGTAGTGATAGTATCGCATCCGTCCTTCGTGCAAAGGAGATAGGTAGGCTCTTTTTATATCTGCTTTAGCCGCGTTCGTCCCCCCTGTTTGCGTGCTTTTACCCGCATCTAGAACACTATGCGCGAGAAGATGTTATCAGTTTGGACAGTATACAAAACATAATGGTGACGACCAGTGACGCAGCCAGGGGGAGCGGGAGGCACATCGAGAACGCCCCTCTTCTTCTTCTGCGAAATTTTTTCACTATGGCACATATAGTACAAAATGACCCGCCCTCGTGCAAATCAAGGTGGCCCCCTCTAAAAAAAAATAAAATACTTTCGTCTATGCCCCTGGTGATGGCAAAAAACCAGTCGAGAATGTACAAATAATTGGCAATAAAAACAAAATGGCTCACGCCGTTGATTGATCTTAAATTTGTGGCATGCGTGATCTTTGCTGTAAGCATTTCCTTGAACTCCATGAAACATAATACACGCACCAAGATTTGTGTATTTTTGCTAAATAATTTAATATTGCTCTACTTATGTGGGCCATTTTCGGTTTCGGTATCGCGGCACCAAGTTTTGTAGTGACGTTGTTGCATGGACGGTTTGGTCACATGATCACACAAAACTGACACACGTCGGGCTGAGTTACCTTTTTTCTCACACACACGTGCCACACAAGTGCCAGCAAAACAAATGCGCTGACAGTCGCCATGGCCAGCTGCAGTAGCATCTAGGCAGTGGCAAGGCAAAAGACAGCCAGAAGGAAACAAAGCATTTATATTTACTATATATGTACAGAACGTGGACGAGGAAATCGCTTGACACAAGAAGGAGAAGGAAGAAGGAAGGAAGAAGGAAGGACAGGGAGGTTAGCCAGTACTCAGACCGGCTGGCTACCAGACGCTAGATGCGCAGGACTTTTATAGGCGCCGAGATGCTGAAGAAGGAGGGGGCAGCCCTGCTGTCGGACGTGTGCAGCGTCTTCTCCGTTGTCCGTGAAGGACACGTCGAGTGTGTCTTTGAACGAACTTAATGTCCTTGATTGAGGCACACATTGTCTCGGCAAAGGATGCCAGCACACTCGAAACAGCAGGTTCGTTTCAGAAATGGTAGAAGTCACTCTCGTCACTACATATCTCGTGTGACGTCACAACTGGCGTTGTTTCTCCTATTCTGAGATGTTAGTGTTGCTGTGCAAGCAATTGGCATAGATCGTGAGACTGAGCATTCAGCTACACCTTTGGAAATGAATCAAAATATATTCTACAAGTTCGTTGTGTCTGACCCTTCGTGTGGAGTGTCCTTGCATACAGAGGAAACCCACAACAGGCTTGGGATAGCCTTGAAATTGTTGGTCACAGCACCCCTTTAAGTGAATGCATAAGGTACCCCTTAAGGTTTTTTTTTCTTTTTGCCCTGCCTTCAAGAGAACAATATAGGGGGTTCTCGGTGTATAGACAGATCGCTCTAGCCATATATTAAACACCGCTGCAAAAGGAAAATGAAGTTTGTTAAATCGTGCAGTTTCAGCATGGTGAGATGAGTGCCGGAGGTGGTTGGCTTTATGAGACTAGCTACATGAAGTCATGAGGTTCGCAACCAAATGAAATATTTCTAGCTCTTCATAAGAGCCCCAAAATACTTATTCATGTCCTTGATTGTAAATGCAACTTTTTTCTCCTTCAGAATGTGACGTTACCTGCTCCAGATTGCTCCAAAATAGAAAACTTTCCTGCTCCAAAGTAGAAAGTTTTTCTGCTCCAAAGTGCTCCAAAGTTTAAATTTTGCTGCTCCAAAATTGCTCCAAATCAGCATACCTTGGTGGCACCACTGTTTACTATATCGAACCTAGGATGGTATTTTTTGTAACAATAAAGTAAATAAATAATTTTACGAGCGAGTAGCATAAAAACAAATGGGCATATATTTCGTGATGCTATGATGTGCAGAAAAATTGTATGTGACAAAACTTGCCCCATAACACTATTTTCTGCAATACAACAACCATGTGTGCGGAATTGCATGCCGCTTGAATGAAGATATGATGTCCGTCTCAGATGATTATAACTATCTCGTAGTTACTGCATTTGCTATTCATCTAAACTGCATAGCACTCCAAATTTGTGAGAAAAGGGCACCACGGGTACTGGGTGAAATGCACAAAAAGCGAAAACACTAGCAATAATACCCATTCGACGACACTGCCCTTCGAAACCAAAGTCGATGCAGACGGGTGCCATAGCCCACAATCCTTTGCATGAACCACGATATTGCTACCACCTATTCACCTGTTTTAGATGCAAAGCATCTTATGGTTGAGTTCAATCTGGAGTGCGGTGTTTATACTCCCATTGCGCATGTGCGTCCACTCCCCCACTCTCTTCTTTTCAATGCTTCCGCTCTCTCTCGTCGCAACGCCGATGCAGGCAGCGTCTGCTAGCTTACGCCAACACAACATATGAAGGCTTTAGCTTTCTTCGCATGATGTCACACGGTGGAAAAAATTGAAGAAAAAAAAATATCGCTGTTCAAGAAAGGTTGTCTTGCTGGTGCACTACGCGGAAAAATTTTTTTCTGCAAGAACAAGCATGCATGTATTTTAAAAAATAATACGCCAGAAAACTGTAGCGTTAAAACATTCATTTATGAAGCCCACTTTATTTTTGTACTGCCTCTATAGTAGAAGCAATGCATGATGTTATTTCACCTTGAGAGTTGCGGCTTTCTTTTTTTTTTATTTATTGGCAGCATCGAGAAGTTTGTCGTTCAGCTTCCTACAAAAGTTCTTTAGCAGAATGTTGGTGCTGCAGTGCAGGATTTGTTTAAGCACTAATGAAACTGTGTGGCTGTTCTCACATGTATCGAAGTCTGATTGCTTTTCACTTGTCAGAAATTGTAGCGTCGTTTTTGTTACAACCTGGCGTTGTTCAGGCATCATAAGTAGTACTGGTTTGTAGCGAGCTGCTCTACTACAACGTAGCTGTGAGCAACTGCATGAAAAGCAAACGGTGGATAAACTAAACCTTTTCGGTCCAGCTGCTTCAGAAGACCATAATGTTCTTTTGTGACAGAGACTGTGATCTTTTTGTCCACAGACCCTGGATTGCTCGAAATCCATCCTTTTAAGGGTCCCGTATATATACCACATAACCTGCAACGTAGACGAGGACTGGGAGGACGTCCTGCATTTTCGTAAGGGCCTGGCTGGTAACAACAATGTTGCTATTGGGAAGCAATGCCGCGACTTTCTTTTGGACGCATTCCCAGTGCTGCTCAGGGCAAAGTGTAAGTAAGGTGCTTTGCAGGCGCAGCTTGTTTTCAACTTCATAAATATGCCTGATGGAGATGTGATATTGTGCACCTGTCAGCTGCCTATACTTTCTAAACCGAATTTCAAGGCAGTCTGTCTGAATCTTCCCAAGAAGGACATACGAAATTCCCAGCTCTTCGAAGCTATACCTAGTGAGCACATTAAGCACATAGGTGGTGTGTTCAAGAGCATCGTGAGCCTCCTTTGTCAGAGTACCCTTGTCAAAACCTTTGTTTTTCCACTCATCCAGCCACTCCAGATGCATGTGCAAGAAGTCAATTTTTGTATCGTTACCAATGAAAAGCAGTCTTTGTTGGAAGTAATCTCTAAGCCTTTCTCTCTTCCATGGAGTTTTGACGTTTACAATTTTCCACCACTTGAGTATGATCTCAATTAATGTAGCCGTAGCCTCGAAAGAGAATAGGTCGTGCTTTGCTCCAAGAGCACGTAGCACCTCTGGTAAATAATCATTGAGGATTTGTAAAGCAAGCTTTACATCCTGGCTTTCAAAATACAAAGGGTAGGGGGCTTTTCTTGACAGCCCATAGCCTATTTCAACAGCTGGTCACACTCTTTGCTTTGAAGGTCCCCAAGTGTTGCAAATTACGCTGTTTGTATTCGTTCTGATTCTGGCATGTCTCCTTGGATCTCTGGGAAGTAGAAACAAATTTGGATCATTCTTCCGATCGATCCAGTTATTTCTTATGCATTTCAGAATGTTCACTATGTATATAACAAAGAACAGCGGCTTTGAAGGATCTGATGAATGTTGGTAAACAATTATGTTATGCGGAGGTGATTGGAAAATTGACATCACTTTTTTGTTCACAAAATTGTTGTCGCTGAAAATGCACATAACTCGGTAACCAATCTTTTCCAGCCCACAAATCACATCTTTAAGCATCTTTTGCAGGAACCCCGCACACCGGCACAATGCGCAACTTCTTTGAATTTACACATCAGGCTGCAAACTATGAAATTGAGTGCACAGCTTCATTTCTTTTAAGTGCAGCATTGGTAATATTGCCTCCTTTGTAGTCAAAGTAAGGTTTTCTATGTATGTGTCAACCATAACTGTGACAAAGCGCTGGTCATTTTTCATTGTCAGAAAGCCTTGTTGTCATGTAGCTGAAGAATGTTTCACTCTGATGCTGTTGTGGAGGACTCATAAGACGAGCACACTGATCTTATCGTCATAGGAAGCGGCAATTTGATGCTTCCATGGCTACGTATGAACGCGTATGCATGGGGCAATATAGTGGAAAGAATACAGTAAAACATCATGAAATCAA